CGCTCTTCCTGGCACTTCATGTGAAAGCCTGGTTGTATCTCCAAAGCCTGAAGTGGGTTTGATGGATACCTGTAGTTGCTGCTCTCCCAAACGTGCTTTTCTCTAAGGGATCGGAGAGGTGAGGAACATTATGCGCCTGCCAGGATTATCAGCTGGCTTTTCAAAACCATGACAGCAAATCTGAAACACTTTCACAGCATCATCAACTGCCCAAGATTAAAAAACCATCAAGAATTGTTTTAATGAGCTAGCATGTGCAGAAGTTACTGCAAAGGAACAGACAGTGATGCCTTCTAGCATTTACCCTGAGTTTAAATTTTAATTACACTTCCCTTAATAGACTGTTTTTTTAAGTATTATATAAACCTAAGAGCCAACTGTGAAGAGTAACACACTGCAGGGTTGCAGACTCAATTGCTGATTGCTTGCTTTAAAATATCCTGGCTTTAGAAGAACACTGTAGCTTCGTGATAAACTGTGGCACAGAAAAGTTCTGCACAGCACAGCCTGTGGATGCACCAGCGTCTCTTTTTTTCCTGTGCGTTACAAACAGCTGAGACCACAGGGCTTACCTTTTCAGCACTGCAATTGTTTTCATTTGGCTTCTACTTTCAGTTGCAATATCAAATAAACAGAGATTTGCAGCAGATTCTAAGACAAAAACATTGTCTGTAGTATGGTTATAACAGAATACAAATATATTATAGAATAATTCTGTTTATCACATTTTTTCTTAATATCTGACTGACCAGACAACACACTGTCAGCCCACAGCCACTCTGACGCGGGACACGATCATGTGCGCAGCATCACACAGGGGAAGGTGACATCTCACCCTGCCGTTGCCACGGGAACCCGACAGCAGTGGGCAGCTCCGCGTGTGGACCACTGCCGCTGCGCCATCCCACCGCTCCAGCTGTGCCAGGCGCTTCCAGAGCGGCTGGCTCTAACGTTCCTGAAAAGGCATCGTCTGAGCCAAGACTGCATCGCACTCTAAATACACATCATATGAATTCAGCACAACGTTATTTAGAAACGGGGTTTTTTTGGGCTCCTGCTGGTTTCTTATTGTGCAGTAAAACGAAGTGGAAAAACAGAAGAAAATGTCTGAGGCTCAATAAAAAAAGAGATACACTTTCAGCTCATCGTTATGTTTCAGAAGGGTGATTTACACTAAGGAACTAAAGGAATCAAGTAAGGATTTCAGGAGTTATCTGTACCTTAATGTCAGTGCACTGAGTGAACTTTGTGGGTGAACACACTGAGCTGGGTTGCATTTTGAGGGCTGCCACAGACAACCCAAACCCGATGGCCAAAGGGGATGAACCTCAGGAGGATGATCCTACTCGCCACCTCGTGCAAAAACCGCTCAACAGTCTCAACCTGGCACTGCTGGGGAAGCAGCAGCCATCAGCACGGGGAGTACAAACACGCTCGATTACACCGAGCGGAACTGGTCCTGTGCAGGGCATCACGGATCTTCCCATTCACCGAGTTGGACTCCAGGGTTTCTTGCAAGCACCTTCTCTCACTCATCCCCATTTCTTTTTTATTTTTGCTTTTAACCTTGGTTATTTGGCTGTTTATCTTTACAGCTACGCCTGAAGCTGTGGCCATGTATCAGAACTGCAATACCAGAGCACGCCACTTTTTCATTTTGATGATCTTTCTAGACAAACACCCCGACAGTAACAACTTCATCACTTTGTTCCAAGTGCTGCAGTCTCTACTTTCTCAGATCCCCAAAATAAGAAATACCTACCTGAGCAGGTAATATAAAGCCAAAGTTGAACCTATACTTCCATTAAAATGCCTATGAATTAAGGCAGTGTGAGAATCGACATCACCACCACAGCCTGACAACTATCCACGCCCTGAAGACTGTCCTGTGACAACCTCACACTCCTGTGTACAGGCTGGTTGCGTGTGATACACGTCCCCCCCCTGCTCCTCACTTCTGTCACAGCTGGGTGAAAAAGAGCATAAACATGAAGCCAAACAGACCGAGCCTCAGCTGGTCGGGCTGTGAAACACTGTGAAAGACGACTGTATCTATGCGGAGTGCTGCGCAGGTACCACCGCCGCATCAAAGAAAGAGAAATCCCTGCAGAAGCCGCCAGAACACAGCACTTACCACCAGGAGGAGGTTTGTTCTTTGAGGTAAGGATGACAAAGCCAAATCCTTCGTTCTCCTTCCGCTGCAGACGGACATCATAGACCTCTGGGGACTGCAGGTTTGCAAACTCTACGCGATTCAGTCGAGGAGAGCCGTTTTGTGTCAAGACAGGCTGCGACTCCTCCTCCTCTGGTTGCTTTTCCCCTTGCAGGTAACAGACAAACAGCAAATAAGGAAAACCCAATACTGCTGTTTTACCAAGCAACTACACAAAACTGTACGCATCGCTATCAGTGCCAGCACGAGGAAACGCTGTCTGCCTGGGAAAGTAAGGTGTGAGTTTATTAACAGTACAATTTGGATCAAACAGAAATCAGATGCAGGATAAAGCATTCAGAGTCCTACACAGCTGTGCACAGTTGTGCAAGGAAAGCCCGCTGCACACCGGTTGCATAGCCGAACAGACTGGGCAGTGTGTGCACAGACTCTGTCAGTGATCTGATGCCTTTTTATAGTAAAAAAAGATCGTAGGTTTTCTGCATGCTACAAGTACAAGATCTACGGCAGAGATCCAGCTACAAACTACAACTATTGCTATCTTAAGGGAGGAACAACTGCTTACTTGGAACAATGGAACGTTTTTCAAGAGGCAGTTTGAAGACTGAAACCAGGTTTTCTTTCAGGAAACCTACAACATTTTGGTCCCCAAGTAGTCTATCTACGAGAAGGCATCTTAAAAGAAATTGAGAATTGATCTTAAAAATATTTTTTTCCTTTTTCTTGTCTATACTCAGAATTAACAGTTGACTAACGCAGTGGAAAAGCAATACTGGTTGCTAATTGGAACAGGGGACCGCTACCAGTTCTCCTGAACCCCATCCCAGCTCTGTCAGTGACATGATCAGCATCATCGAGTCAAGGACAATAATCTTCTGTACACTGCCGCTCTGGACTCTGATCTAAAACTGCAGAACCACAAGATGCTGCCCCGAATCATTTCTGGTTTGAATGCACTTATTCTTGCTACACAGATGCCAGGAGACTGGAGAATACAGCATGTTGTACAGAAAAGACGTTGTGTTATTAATGCATAGCATTAGCGGCTCTTCTAATTAGTATCTGCAAAAAGCTTTGAAGAAAACACCACTGCCATCAATTTTCAGAGCCTTACCTGTCCAAGCAGTGCAAACGAGCAAGTACCAAAGCATCAGCGTATTAAATTGTGCTTTTTTTCCACTTGCTCAGAATTGTAGCTGACCCTCCTGAATCTCAGGCTGCTCAGCTCTAGTGCAATAACTGATGAGCTTCAGGGCAGCTTTAGTCGATCTGATTACAAAAACAAGCATTCCTTTAGCCAGATCTGTGTCCTGCAGTCCCCACTCTGGACAGACAGACACGTACCACCAAAGAAGATCTTCCTCCGGACTGTGAGCAGCACCTGACCGTTCCGTGCAGCACTGGTCATTAAGTCCAAAACTTGCTTGTGCGACTTCCCTTTAACAGGAACCCCATCGATACACATCAGCTCATCCGCAGCTCGAAGCCTGCCGTCTTTTTCTGCTGCTCCCAACGGGATTATGGCTCCAATGTAAATCTGCCAGCAGAGCAGAGCCAGGGGTTTGAACGGCAGAACTTGAACTCATCAGAACACGTAATGGTGGGGGGATGCAGGTGAATGCAGACAGGTGAGGGCTTTTGGGAAGGTATTTTTCAAGATTATCTGACTGTCCAATTCCAGTAGAAACACAGCCAGCTGTGAAACACTTTGCACAAGATGACTGAGTGGATACAATTTGGGGGCTCAAAGCATTCTGTAAATACGCAAAGTTTGGGGGAATTTTTAATTTCCATGAATTCTGGAAGCATCGCTATCTCTTGAGCGTATTTCTCAGTTTGTTAAAGAGCCCGATTTTTGACATAAGCATACACTGTGTACTTACTATGTATACATGATTTCTCAGAAATTATCGACACGAAAGCCATGTATTCCACTTTTTTTTTTTTTTTTTTTTTTTTTTTTTACAATAAAAATTTTTAGACAAAAAACCATGTTTTTCCCTTTTTTTTTTTTTTTTTTTTTTTTTTTACCAAGACTAGGCCAGAGTGTTTGCGGAAGAAGTAAAAGCTTTTGAAAGAACTCAACTTCACTGCTGAAAAGTAGACAGTTCCATGCTTGAAGTTTTTTCAGTGCACAGCTTTTGGTGATTAGATAATGAATTCAAACTGCTGCACTGCCCTTATCAATTTTGTCTACCCCCACATCATAAAGTGCTACTAAATGTAACACAGATAAGAACAAACACAATTTCATATGCTGGAATCACATTCCGGTTAAGTGAAAGATTAAGAATAATTATGGCCAGTAGTCGTTGAGGTTAAGCAATGGTGAGCAGATCATCTACACGTCATGACATTAGCTTGACACTTACCAACAGCTCTGGCTGTTATGGAAACAAAACACCACAAATGCTATAAAGTGCAACAGAAGTCAAATTCTTTGGTTTTGCTCTTCCTTTTCCTTAAATGCATGTTAGGGATTAAAAAAAAAAAAAACTAGCGCTGGATCGCAGCTGTGAATGGTGAAAGCCATATTGCTTAACTGCAATCAGAAAGCAGTCTATGAGTGTCTATTCCAAAAGTTTTTCCTCTTAACTGGATGGCTGAGAAACAGCCCCTGACATATGGTAACAAGTCTTAGCACTTCTTCCCAAAGGAAAAAAAAAAATTGCCTTTTTGGAAATAGAGGGCAGTCTCCTACAGTCTGCTCTGAGGAACAGACTAGCCAGGGTTTCTGCACCAGCATTTGCCCGTTGGCCTCCAACTCTGCTGCTCCTTGGCAATTACCTCTCATGCAGAGTCATCCAAGTCCAACTGCAACAGCTCAGCGGGCTGAGGCCAGGAAACACCACTACATGGATGACTCAAAATCCTAACTGAACTTTAGTCACTGACCAGGTTAAAGCAAACGAGGCTCTAACAAGTATTCTTCCTCCTGTGCAAACATCAGAGCCGCGTTCTGATGCCAGTTACAATGCAAAACGTCGCCAATACGCATCTGCAGGAGGAAGCCAGTCTTAACAGGTTCCGTTTCAAGGCTTTCACAAAAATCTTGAGGTACCACGTTTTGCATTTTCTGAGATGAGAGGGAAAATCACAAGGCAAATAAAAGCCTGAAAGCATGCACTGGAAAGGCTGGGCTTGTCTCCTTGAGACGAATCGACTAGAAACCACACTGACTGACAGAACAAAATGCATTTTTGAAAAGTTGGTGGGAGAGGTGAGGGAAAAGTGGGACACAATCCAAAATCTTGCCTCATTTCACTGGGCCGCATTCAAAGCAATGGCCTGCGGGAGTTTTTGCAGGGTAAGCAGCACCTTCCTTCCACTCACCTGCTCCCCAGGATGCGCCAACGTGCACGGCACACTGAGCGTTACCAGGGCGCGTTTTGTGCCAAGGCCACCATCAGGATCAGGTGGAAATGGGCAAAGGCTGAGCACCGGCGCTGCCCTTTCGAGTGCTCCTGAGACACAGCAGCAACTACAGCAACATCTTCAGTATTATCAGCCTGGCAGAGAAAGCTGCTGCCAAAGACAAGCTCCAGATAGCCAAAAGGGCACGGGAGCCTTGCAGATTAAAGTCAGCCACGAAGAGGAAAAAATGAAAGGTAATCTGAAACAATTCTTGACCTTTAAAAGGCAGATACTGAATTGATCAATTTTGCCATCACTGAACTGTTTGGGATGAGAGGGAAATGAGGATGATGGAGCAGGAGTCATTCTAACAGTAACACTGTAAGATAACACGTAGGCAACCGTAAACTGTTTCACTTACGGGCTGGTCTGGTCCATCCCCTCCAAGCACCCGGAAACCAAAGCCTGACTCTTGTTTTCGCAGGAAAACGTCCAAATCTCTTGTGTTTGGAGCTAAGACAAAGCAACATTTCAAAACATGTAAGGAACTATCTTTGATTATCGAAAGATTATGTTTTTATGGTGCATTCTGACTCTTCTTAATGACAGAACACAGTAATCAGAAATACAGTAAATAATTCAAACAGTCAAATCTTCAGCGATGTTCTCTTTACAAAATGGAAAAATAAAGTTTCAGGAAAAGGCTGAAAAAAGGAAGGGACAGATCAATGAATGCCAAAGGAGAAATGACAGCTGCACTTGTACGGTGGACCAGGATAAAATCTGGTCTGCAAGACAACTCAAAACTAACTCCTATAAACTCGGAAATGGTCAGCTCTACTTCCGTTTCCTTCAGAGCTAGATCATCCTTGAGACCATTTCTATGATTATCTGTTTTATTATAAATATGGTTGAAGCATATTGTATCTTTTTTTTTCAAAAGGAGTTCCACAGGTTTCTAATTTCTGTATGAATTACACATTTCTTGAAATGTTTTACCTAGAGGAGGTTAAAAAACTCAAACTGAAAGTCACAGTAGTTTTACCATACATACGACAGAAAAAATTCCTTCATAATTGAGTACTTCCAAGTTGAAGTTGATATACTTACGCTTGTCCTCATACAGAGTCTTAGACTTCAAGTAGACTTCCGAAGGGTCTAGTTTAGGAGAGCCCGATCGTACAGCAGTGGGTGGGAACGGCATCGGCTGTGGGATGGGATCACCAACAGCTTCCAAACTACCCGAACTGTCCTGCTTGTCCTTCTGAAACAGACCCCACCCCACAAAATCCATACTAAATCAAAAGTGTAACTCAACTTGTGTACTTATGCTCGCAAAGACAATAAACATCATGCAGAGGTGAAACGCAGGGCTAATTTCCAATTGATCATGCACTAAAGTAACTCTAAATACTTTTTTCTGGGCTGAAACCCAACCTGGAAAGCTTGAACATGGTCATCTGCACGTGTCTGTGCACGTTAAACACAAACACAAGCAGAACAGACTTAGATATGCCCTTTTACCAAGAGTGGAAGAAAACTCCCCCAAGGGGTTTAGCAGTTTGACACTTCTTGTATGTTTATAAACACAAGAACTTGCCCTTTTTAACTGAATTATTTTGCCACGCTGCTTAATGCCACTGAACATCGAGTGCTCCACGGGAAGTTGCTACTGCATGTGTGCTAGAACGCGAGTCCCTGAGTCCAAAGTATTTTTAGCATGCCTGCACAGAGCGCACTGACATGGGAGCCACACTGACAGGGCTTGCATCCTCAAACTGCAGAGATTTATGCACCCATTTATTTAGCGTGGGCAGCTGTACGCTTGCAATGAACGGAATCTGCAAATCTTACTGAGTGCAGTCCATTTCAAGCGCACTAAATGTATGTGCTCACTTTATCCCACTGCTGGGATATGACTTCAATACTCAAACCACATGCCAAAGATAGAAAAAGCAGCTGCATCTACATCTTGGTAATGGGGTTTTCCTGAAATGCAATAATTTATTCTGTACAAGAAACATTTTTAAAAAAACAGCTCTGTTCACCGACTAGCCTAATACATAAAAGAAGCGCGCACGACAAAAAGATGCATTACTGTCAGCATTATCAAATCAGAGAGTATTTTATTAAGCCAAAGAATTCTTCACTGAGCTAATACATACTAAAGATACCCCAACAGATCACACTTCTAAGAATAACGAGTATCAAACTAGGAGTGTTCAGCTACATAAAGACTTCCTGAAAATACGGATTCAAAGATAAGCAAGCATTTTAAGAAGGGAGTACTAACCAGTCCATTAATTCTATGACAGGACTGAGAAGCATCGAAGTATTGTAAACTTCCTTTAGAAATCCCATTTCACTTTAATACAGGTAATTAGCAAGGAAAAAAAATAGATACTGTATTTTGTTTCCCTTTTAATGTATATTCTGACAGCAGTTACTTAAGACAATGAGTTTGTGGCAGCTAAGTAGACGTGGTTTCACTAAATCATGTTGCAGATTACCACAGGGACTAAAACCCAGAGAGGATGAGATTACCGAAGCAGGTCAGAGCGTGCACACAGATAGCAATTTCATACAGTGCAAAACTAGGAAATAACGATGGGACTTAAGTGGAAATGTCACATTTAAAATCCTGACAAATCAACACCACTAGACCTGTCATCATACAAGATCTTTGCTGCATTCTTGATTCCTCAGCAGTAAGAAGAGAGATCTCCATCACCTCCGTTAAACAACTCAAAAAACTCAAAGGAATCTTTTGCATTAAGTGGACCGTATTTATAAGTCTGTTTTGCAACCAAACCCCCCTGAATATTCTCCATCAGAAACAAATTTAAATACATCGCTAATACTTACCCCTTTGGAAGTTTTAGTAGGTGAGGGTGGACCTGAAGAAAATATAATGTAGAAAGCAATTTCAATAGTAGGTCACCAAAAGTTTAAACAGCATTAAAGCAATATAATCAGTTCCTCCTGGGTTGAAAATAGCAACTGCTTATTCATTCTTCTTTTAAACGGCAAAGTGAATGTTCAGTTGACCAAAACCATCACTTCAGAAAAGTCTCAAATTAGAATTGCTAGCTGTACAACAATGAAAAACATCTATTTCTCTTTTTGCTAGACTCCGGTCAACCAAATCACGCATCGGTTCATTGGATACAGAGATTTTGTGAAGTTGTCTAGAGGAATTTCACTTGCTACCAAAGAAATCTAATTACTTCTTTAGCAGATTAAGGAATAGTAGCATTGATACAAAAAAAAAGACCTGAAGATTTTCACAAACGTCGATGACTCTTTGAAGTGACGCTCTCAGGGCTACAATAAAAGCTTAAAGGGACACTAAGCAGCCACATGTTGCTTCATAATTCATTTAGCTCCTTCTGGCAAACGTACACTATCTACTAGTCAGCTTTTGGGGAGAAGATGCGTTCTGGTCTGTGACTGACAGTCAATGAAAGGGTATAAATATGCAAATGCAAAAATGAGAACTTTTCTGGTATTTCCAGTGATCTGCTCCACCTCACTGCTGATGTTTCTCCCTGTCTCCTGTAATCACCTGTCCATTGCAGCTACAGTTACTGGAATACATTTGGAGAGCCGCAGAAAACTCTATCCATCATACGCTTTGTATTATGCTACAGACCGCATTTTTGCTTTAGCACTCCCCAGACACTTGGAAGAAACAGTGCATAAACACAGCACAATAAAATTTTTGGAAAAAAAACCCCTAGTGACATGCTCTCATCCCAAATACTCAGGGGTATGAATTAAACTTGGAACATAACAGCTCAGAGACCTAATAAGCTGCTACTTAGCTGTCAAGACTGGACACGATTTAGATATCACACTAAAAAGGGACGTTTAAAAAGCATATAACCGTACATGACAACTGTAAATTTACGTATGTACCTCCTCTTAGGATAAGCAGCGGCACCTCTGCTCCTACTGGAAACTGCTTCAGTACCTCCACCACCTGCAGATGTGTCAAGCTCTGTACGTTCTGATGGCAGATCTCCTTGATTACGTCCCCTTTCTGAAGGCCTTGGCACCACTGACTGTCTAAAATCATTTTCACCTTCTGTCCTGTCGGACTGTCTGCAATGGCAAACCCAAAGCCTTTGGGACCTTTGACTAGAGGAATGGTGACCAGCTCTGGCTGAGAGCCTCCTGAAGATGCAAGAGAGATCCTCTGCTCAGCTGTATCCATGGAAGGGCCGTTCAGACGACCGTTGACCAACATAGGGCCCATTTTTCCATTCTGGTCCAACACAACCGTTCCTGCTATTAAATCTTGGCTGGTCACACAAACGTCTCCTTTGGTCACAGGCGGTCCGTTGATAATAGGTGTAGCTGTCACTATATCTACCACAGGGTCTTCGTTGTCGTCAGGAAGAGGATAGCCACGACACAAAGTCATGTTCACATACTGATTGACGGGAACTAGCTGAAACATCTGGACAACATCTGCATGGGTATGGCCAAGGACACAAGTTCCATTTATGTCTACAATGACATCACCTGTTACAAAACAAAGTTCAACAGTGTCAAAACCAGAAACGAAACCATCCAAACCTGTCCTGTGTTCTGAGACTCAGAACAAAAGCCTAACTGGAGAAAATCACTGTGCAGTCTTAAAACTAGTAAGGAATGGTGGCTGGGCTATTACCTCTGGGCTATCTGTTGCCAAAAAGCACAAAGGATTTCCTCTTTGCATTTATTCTATTTCATCTCAGAACACAGTGTGCTAAATATATAAAGTTTAATCTGCAGCAGATTTAAAATATGATACTGTACAGCCACAGGAGATGAAGCAGCGCGCGCACGCTACTGCAAGCAGATGTCTTCTACTTTAATTCATATTGTACGGCACCCTAAACTCTACCCAGAATAAATCGGATTTTTTTGGGGGGGGTCCTATGTTTATTTTAGGACTGGCTGAACTTGAGTTAGGATAGCGCCCACACACATTCCGTACTTCTACACTGTTGCCACACATGGCTAAGGGTGTATTTTCAAACTGAAGTGGACTTCAGATCCCAAAACTTCATTTCATAATTTGCATCATTTTCATTGTGAAACTTTGCATGTGCAATACAATATTCCCAGCAAGCAAATAGTCTTATCACGTAAACGCCTGGGCATCAGTAAAACAGTAACTCTCTTGTTACATGAGCTACAACAGGAATAGATACACATCTTTCCACTCAAACGTGTGTGTGCACAATGCAGTGCTGCGGGATCGCCTTCATTTTTACGGAGGAAGAAAATGAATCACATACAAACAAGTTCAAACAGCAGGTCAGCAACAAAACAGGAAACTGTTTCATTTTATAAGTAAATACTATTAAAGTATTGAAAGCACGAGCTCTTCTTACTCTTCTTCTCTGAAGAGTAACAGAGTTTATGTGATACGTAAAGAAGCATTTTGCCTTTTCTGGTATGTAAACCATGTTACAGCAAGCTTATAGGTAACTTAAACATATAACAACAATGAGAAAGTGTGCAATTCTTTATGGATTTCAGGTACTCTCATCCCTCGTTTCCTCACTTGTCCAGTTCATACAGCTTTGCTTGTTCATTCCTGCTTTTTTTGCAATTTTAGTATTTGGTGTTGTTTTCCGGCAGCAACAAGGCAAAATACAGACCAGGACTCAAACACACTGTTTTTACTTTACGTACAGAGAGGGAACAAAAAAAACATTCTGTAAACAACCATGAAGCCAAAAGTCTCAGCTAAAGCAGAAGTACAGGAAAAGCAGATTTCTATCCAGAATAGCACTTCTTTTTCTTTTCAGCCACTGCTCTGCACAGAACTTTCACAAATCTGAGAACTATTTCATTTAGTGAGGTGTTCGTATTCGGAGTCATCCAACCTCCTGTGCTCAGAAGCTGTGTTCTCTAAAAGCACCACCACAGGAAACGGAAGTTTAGAGAAATAATACTTGACCTGGGGCAATTCTGCCATCTTGTGCAGCAGGTCCATCTTTTAGCACGTTCTTCACCTGGAGAAACTCATCAGGTCTGTCCCCCCCAATGATTGTGAAGCCAAATCCCATTGTACTTTTTTTCAGCGATGTCCGTATAAGCGCTCCTGTAAGCTGGGATGGATCTCTAGTAAACACAGACTTCTCTGGTCCTTTCAAATTATGGAATAAAGAGACATGAAGGCAGAAAACCAGAGTCAGTTTTGGTAAGTTTTTGTTTGTTTGTTTGTTAAGGTGTCATAAAAGTTAATGATTTGTTTGGTTAACATTGGTTAACCTCTGCAGAACTGTTATGGTGTAAAGCAAACAAGATACTGTTATACTCAGTTCACAGCTAAGTTAAGTGAAGGGGAAAGTTAAGAGTTTTTTCAAGACCGTAGTACAGATTACAACAGAGCTGGAACTAAACCTGCCAACTTTAATTCCCAGTTTTACACTTTAAACCTAGAATACTTAGCTTTAAGTAGATCAAAAGCATAAAAATTCAAGGTGGGGTTTTAGCTGCATCTTCCAGCTGGCTCTTCTAACCCTCCATATATTCAAAAGCTGCTTATGACAACCAGCTTCAGAACGAGCAAAATGATTTTAAAGCAGTCTTAGGGTCTCAGTTCAATTTTAACATTAAAAAAAAAAATCACTCAAAAAACCCTACAGATTTGGGAGGGCAACGCCACAACTGCCAGCAAAAAGACAAGGCTAATGCCTTGATGAATTCCAAAATTGGTTACTTGCGATGCATACTTGCAGATAAACTGACACACAATCTTCAGTGATACCTGATTTTGAAGGGCCAACATCAGTCTGTCCTAGCTGTTTTTTTCTTTTGGCTTCCAATACTGGATTCTCAAACTGAGTTTTCTGGTTAATATGACTGTAGGCATACAAAAGGTAGATCAGGATTTCAGCAGAAAGCATTCTGCCTATTTCACAGAAAAGACAACCACAAAAGATACATCTACAAATACTATTTTTTTATTATCTCAGATCAATGCTCTGGAAGAATGAATGATAAACTATCGTAATCAACACTGAAAGCATTTTTATTCTTTCACCAACTTGGTTTACTTTAAGAGCCGATACAATTTTACTTCCTGTTGTTATTAGGCACAGTGTACCTTCATTCCACTCTGCAAAAGACTGTAATAGTTTAGAACTGAGAAAACCTGCTTTTTCTCTTGACCCTACGTGTTGCTTCCATCTACCTATAATGTTCACAAACTCTGACACCACCTTTTTACTAGTAGATGCTAGAATAGTACAGCAGAGTGGGGAAAAAAACCACTCTGAAGAGTGGAAAAGCAGAATTTAAATAACTGTGTTGGCTTTGCAAAGTCAAACATGTTAGCTTGTTCTCTGAAGCTAACATTTTCAACTCTACTCATTTTCTTCTCCATGGTTAAAGAGAAAATTTTCTCTGACCTGAAGGAGACTCAGAAGAGCTCTTGCAGCAGTTTAGTAGTTATTTACTCGTCTCTTTGGAGACAGCAATGAGATAGAAGTTATTTTTGCTCTTTTACAGTTATCAGGTGCCACTCTTAAATCAAGTGACCTCATTTTTGTTAAAGCTAAGAAAAATGACATCAGCTCATTCCCATTAATAAATTACAATTTGCTTGCTACTTGCTTTCCCTCCCCAAAAGAAATATGCCCCAGTAGGTCTGAAAGGTCACACCATGGATCTGCCCATGTGCTGGTGCTTTGGAAACGTGTCCCTGGGTGCTCATTGCCCCTAGTACTGTTTCTACTGGATATGTTTCATACTTCAATTGCATTGCAACCTATACATACTGCATATGAGCACTTAGTTATAAATTGAGCAGAAAATAACAACATCAAATTAATAATTAGCACTTACTCAACATAGTATGTTCCGTATTGAGGGTCTTCTATTTTTTCCCATCCATAAGGAAGTTCTGCAATCAGAAAGAAAAAAATTCTCCATTACAGTGGCAAACTATCTGCAAATAGCAGAATTCTTAATGAAGGAACGAGAGGACAGATTACAGACTCATGAAAAATACCAGGAAAATACAGGTCCTTTTTTATCCCCTTCATTTGTTTGAGGCTGGTCCTTCTGATGAAAGGATATCAGCCTGTTCCAGGGAATTTGAAGCCCTATAACTCTCTTTGTTCCATTAGATGAGGAGACTCGTATTCAACAAACTCACACCACTTCGAACATATAATAAACTTAAAGACAAGATACAAACTAACCTATTTAGAGAGGAAGAACCTATAAAGGGGAAGAAAAATACATTATTTAAAATTAATCTAATTATAAATTATGAATGTGATTTGATAGTTGTCAACTTTTTAAACTGCACAATGTGAATATGGTCACACTGCTTCTGCCCCCAAATACACCACAAGAGAGAGCTATGAATGCCTCGCAGTATCACATCCCAACCTTGTAAAACTATGCATCTTCTTGTACTTTCCGTTTAAGACCACCTGGCAGAAATAATGCCACCTTTATTTATTCTCTCAACAATATCAGGATATTTCACTGTATTCCGACATTTCTGTTTTCAGTCAACCCAAGAAACCTTCAGTCAGAACTGTAAGATAGGCAAGAAGAGAGCCCCACCATGGCAGGCCATTTCGCCCTGACGTTTACAGGATAGCGAGACACCCCAAAACTAGCTAGCACGTGTTTGGGTCTGGTTGCATCAGATTCAGCGCAGCCTGGCAAGATGACAACGTGCAGTTCTGCACTGCTGCAGCCTGACGGCTCCTGCAGCCACGGCAAGCCAGCTGAGAGTGGCTCGGGCTTGGACATCCTTACATTAGGGGTCTAAAATAAAAAATTACCTGTTTGATATAGGTACTGAGAGTTACATGTGAAAAGCTCCTTTTTATGGCAAATTCAGAATCTGGAAAGATGGTGCCCAGCAGCAGATCATTACTGGCCAAAGGTGATAAGCAGTTAACACAGAGGTCCAATTATTCTAGCTTTACTGTTCTAGTTATCTTGACCATGGAGATTTAAATATTAGAATAATGGACACAGGCAGGTAGCTAGACATTTTAAGGATAAAACTGCTATGTAATCTTGTTTGAGGCTGCCCTAAGTTTGACGGCAACAGGAATTTTTCCTAGCATATGACAGCATGTAACCAATTATTAATACCAGCATCACTCCACAGGGTTTGACAAAAGACCCAGTGGGTCTATTCATTTAAATGTTGTTCACTTGGAGATCCAGCATCTCTCTGTTTAAAGTGCTCTTTTTATCCCGTGGTGAGCTGCACATATGTTTAATAAGCAGCAGTATGCGTCCATTGCTCCAGCTGGCTTCATTATGAATACATGATTGTTAGGCTGTGCAATTTAGGAAGACGATAGACTATTCTGAGTCTGCCTCAGCTTTTGCAACATGTCAGGCATTTGCTGAAGACAGAGCTATTTGGTACTCTTTTCTAGCTGACTAAATTACACGACTATGTAGGAACTGGTTACAGGAATTGTCTGCAGGCCAATCATGAATCTGACCTGAAAGTTTTGAAGCAACAGCATGAAGAGTTGGAGGGAGTCAGACTGTTGCCTCTACTTGTGCATTCAAATATTCTATCACATCACATGCAACAGGCGTCATTAGCAATAGGTATTATGCTGTATCTTCCTTATTATTCCTAGATTCTAATACTTATGGACCTTTTCCTCCTGCCATATTCCACCCACACAACAATTTCCAGTGAGATCGTCACCAATATATGCAATTTTCTCCTTAGCAAGGATAGTTACTGGAACAAAATATCTCATTCTCGTCTCAGGAATGCAGATAAACCCGTGATTCAGTCAGATTCTACTACTCCAGGGAAAACACACTATGGACTTTCCCAGTCTTATGTAAACTTGTATTGCCGAACCGAACTAAGGACGCTCAGCGCTACACTGCCTGCTCCAGCGTCACAAATATCAGGAAGAAGCTTCTACCACAGCAGTAATGAATTGTATCCAGCTGTGATAAACTCAGACCTTTATCAGGCACAGGAGACAAATGAATTCTGAACATCTCACCTCCATCTTCACAATCTTCAGGAGCTTTGGCTTTCTTACAGAGCCGCGGATCGAGCCACGTGGTTGTCTTGGTGTTATGGCTGTGGAGCAGAACACTTGCCATTAAAAGAAGAGAACTCCCTGAGACTGAAGAAACTTGGCTTTACTTTAAAAATTTACTACCGTGGGCAAACTGTAGCCTTTAGATAATATAGCCTTTATTTGTGCCTCAGTCACATCATGAAATGCTAAAAAGAAAAGACAACAGTGATGCTCAGAGGTACCAGCATACTGGAGACTCCCCAGGACAGATGTGAAATGTTAGAGGGACAAACACTCTCCCCTGCCCCCGAGAGCTCATGTGGGAATAGCAGCTGGTCCTACCTGAAAGGAAAAAATACTTTTAGCCTCCTCTTATGCTTAACTCTCAGTAAGGTTTCTGTTTCATTTCTGCCTTAGAATTCATTAATGAGGCTGTTTCACACGTGCACATATGAGCTGCTTTCCTATCCTGGACTTTAATCTGTGCTGTTTGTGTTTTTAAGCATGCATTCCCAGCCAAGGAACACAAAGAGGAAGAAAGAACAAACAAGCTCTCAGATTTCAGGGAAATTTGACGTAGTGAAGGCTTATACCTCACTTATCAATACCCGCCCAGCTTTGTATTTTGCAAGACACAAAACTCGTATTACAAACAAACTGACTTTGCAGGTGGAACCGGAAGGCTTTCTTGCGCGATGGCAATCGTAACAAGCACGCGACATAGATGACCATTGGTAAGGAACGTAACAGTAGGAATATATTAAATTTCATAGAGAAATAGAAGCAGTAAGAGCAGAAGAGAGGTGTAAGTGCAGCAGGCAGCTTCCTAGACTGCAGCCCGTCAGCACTTCTCTCCTCCAAAGAGCACAGCAAGCCCTCCACGGTGTCGGTCTACTCACTCAATGAAGTAGATCATGCCAGTGTCGGTGTAGGCCATCTCCCAGTTCTTGGGCAGCGGTTCCAGGGTTTCATCCCTCGACAAGTAATTTCTGAAGTCCATGGAGCTGCTTGTCTGGTTGTAGCTGGGAACAGGTTTCATCCAGTCAGGAGACTCCGAATGTTTTTCTTTGTTTTCTGCAGTTGTTGGGGGAAAGTGTTACTATTTGTCAGATGTTTATGTTGTTTCTCACAAAGAACCACCCTCTTAATCTGGCTAGGAGTGGATGTCAAACACGTCCCTGTATGTGATGTGCATTTTTCCACTTTTTTTTTGTAACTTTGAAAAGCTGACTCTGCTCGTCCCCTGCCAAACAGAATTAACCTTGTATTATGTGTCTGAGCCTACTCTGAAAAATCAACGCTGGCAGAAATCCAAGCTGACTACACTCTGTTGCCATTCCTATATAGAGAACAGTGTGTGCAATGCCATCAAAAAAAAACCCACCCCAAATCCTACTAATATTCCTCAAAGCACCAGAATAAAATATTGAAAAGACCCAAACTGCCAGTGAAAGAAACACCACCCTCCCGCAAGCCACAATAAGAAAAAGCTACCAAAAATCCCTGCAGAAAATGTTAAATGCAAGCCTCCACCCTTCAGTCCGGAGGTTATGCTCGGTATCCCCTGTCACACCACGATGTCCCTGACCTCACCTAACCACCAGCCCAGCCACCCGGCCACGGTGTTGCCAGCCCTGAAGCTTGCAAGACTAGATCAGGTCTGGCCGATGTAAGTCTGTCTTAAACACTCACACACAGGATCATCTGCAAATGCAATGTGACGGTTTCTCTCCGCCATCAGTTCTTCCCCCCCCAAGATGAGTCACCGTGACAGTGAAAGGAAAGGGGCATCCTGCCAATCTTCGCAAGGTCCCACTGGACACTGGTCCGACCTCAACGCACTCCGCTTTATTTCTCCCCACAAACTCCCCTTTAGGCAGTTTCAAGTTGTGCGATAGTTCCCTTAACCAAAATCATCTGAAAATTTTACAGCATGAGCTAGCGTTGCCCCTTAAATCAACTGTTTCGCTAAAATCTCCTGCATACAAATTCAGTAATCTCCTCAAAATTAAACAACAACATTTACAGGGTATGAAATATACTCTGCAAAGGATTCCGTTATTTGAAGAGTGGATAAGTTTTTCCTTCCCCCTCATGTAACTGGCTGATACCCAGCACTACATGTTCTCTACTGAGCAGTGCATTTTATGATGCAATTGCACATCTGGCTGGGAGAACAGCTGTTTCTTTTTAAAAGATAATTTCAAAATCGAGTAAAAACACCAGTGTGTATAGAAAACTGCCTTCGAACTTCACCAAACTAAGGAAGCGGTTCAAGCAAGCATGAACGTCTTTTGTACACTCCTCATCCATCCACACAACACTTCAGGGAATTTCTCCCCTTGTCAACCAACCTATCCCTCCGCTGCCATTAACTGCTTCCTTTTCCTCCTCTTCCTCCTCTTCCGGGAGAGAACTGTCCATCCTTTGCATTTTGCTGACGGACGTGGTTCTTTTCCTCTGCGATTCGGTATCAAAATCATTGTCGAAAAGGACTTGATCCACTGGATCAGGCTGAAAGGGGCTGGGCTCCGCTGGAGGCTTTGGAGTACCATAAAAATTACCTGACAATGAGACGGAAACCAAGATCGCTAAAGCTCTGATACTTGCTGAAAGTACCGGCAGTTGCAGTGAACATTTTCTTGCCCATATAACGTGCTTTTGGTGAAAGACCTGAACTGTAATTTAACTTCTTTAAGAAGACACCAGCACTATCAAAAACCAGTCAACAGTCAAAACCTATTTGTGCCTACATCGTCTTTTTGCCAGTGATGCTATTGTACATCAAAACCCAATAGGTTTAATTCAAAATTTCTATCCTGCCACATGTTTTCAAAGAAAAAGATGGATTTGTTACTTTGACTGGAATTCACTAAAGCTCCATAAAGAGACTTGGGGAATAGTCTGAGGCAAGCAAAACAGTGAAAATCAATTGTTCTTACTCTATATACTGATTAACTGATTAACAGAGAAACATGCAGTGATTAACAGAGAAACATGCAGCAACAGAAACACACTAAAGTCAAAAAAACAAATTAATTTTGTGCAGAAACATATCTATTTACATAAAAACAATTACAAATAATTGATTTTCAAACTGCAGTCCTACATTTTTCTACATGCTAAACAAAGCTGTTAATATAGCTTCATCTAAAAATGATTTTTACTTGAGAAAAACAAACAGATTTTTGCTTCAATATTTTAATCTAAACCACAAAGACCAGGAATCATCTGTTGTTTTCTGGAAAAGAATTTCGGAAATTGACCTCTCTCCTGACTGCTCATATGATTTTTATTAGGGAATTGAGCACACAGCAAGAGAGCTTCCCAGAACTCTTGCTGAGGTAACGTTTGGTGGCTGGATACGGTTTTGACCATGTGAAAAAAAAATAAGAAACCCTTCTGAAAATATCAGCGAAGGTGAGGATCAAAGTGCCGACAGCCAGATAAAGGGGAGCTAAGACAAAAAAAAGGGCTAGCTTAGTCTAAATTTGCTTAGGAGATTTGCACAGACAGGATGCTGTCAACAGACAGCACGAGAAATATACTTTGGACATTTTCTTTTTCTTTTCTTTTTTGAGGGGCGGGAGTCAATCAAATTAATTCAAGTGCCAGCAAAACCACCACCTACAAAGAAGTCCTCTAGATGCATGTTTAAAGTTACTTGTAATACATGTACAAATCAGGTTTATAATCTGGTAAATCCCATTTAGCATCAATGAAAGCTGCACATGCTCAGCATTTCTGAAAATTTGGCTGTAATTTAATTGACTTCAGGTACAACTATACATTTAAAAAATCCCCTTAGCCAGATCATATTTTGGGTTTTATAAACTTACAAAAAGGAATGTGAGACGTTTGTAATTTGTTCTGTTTATGGTGTTGAGAGGTAAAAAGCAGCAGAAACCAGGCAAGCATCATGTGAAACCCAGCTACCAGGGCACACTCCCCAGGAGTGCAAGACATCCCACGGCTGCACCGGTCAAACTTGTCTCCCCTTCCTCTCACTTTAAAGGTGGGGTTTGGGTCCGTCCCCCACCCCAGAGTACAGGGATGTAACGAACCTTAAAAATTATCTCTGACTGCCATCGAACCCTTTAAAACAAAACAAACTAAAGCAAAGCAAAAGCCCATCATGCGATGGCAGCTCTGTGACTCCTCTGGATCACCAGTTCCTGACGCCTCACTACCTTCATTACATTGTTTTTCCCCACCATATTTAACAAAACCAACTTTGCTCCAGATTTGGACACTCTGGTCTAGCGCTGTTCAATTTTCCATTGCCAAATACTTTTTCTTCCCTGCTGTGTCATAATTTCCTTTGCCTTCTATCCTTTTGAAGTGTGCCTCTGAGAAGAACACGGCTCTGTTCTCAAAGGTTTAAACAAAATTGACTGAATTCTGGTAAACTAAAATTGTACCAAGCACAGAATGCTTCCTCAAAAACGCAACAGGGAAAATGCACTTAGACCAAGACACTGGACATGAGTACTGGGTCCTTATTCCCATTCCATTAAACGTCATCAACATACCATCATACGTTCCACTTTCCAGCAAGGCTCCGCTTTCTTCCAGTGCTTTGAACTGCTCAACAGGAATGAAATTATAGTCTACCCCAGGGACCTCCCCATCTCTGGGAGCCCTTGTAGTGCCTGAAAAGACAGAGAAAACACTCTTGTAAGATACTTAAGTGCTGCCTGTTTACCAAATGCTGCCTGCTGTACAACTCAGTAAAAACAATATATTTTTAAATCTTTATACAATGATGATGTCACTTCAGTAAGGTAAGAGTTAGAACACTGGTGAGCAAGTGAACATAATGTATAAAAACTAGGCCAATAAATTATGTAGGAATGGCAGCTCTGGTATTGAGGAAGGAGGAGAAAAAAAGCTGGGTGAGGTGGTAATTGGAGAGAATTCTTTCTTATGCTCAGTGAACTGAAAACTTATTCTGTGGAAGCTGGCGACGCCTGAGCCAGGCAGTCGCAGTCTGGGACTCTGGGGAGCTGTTTAACTGGGGTATTTTAACACAGCGTAAGGGTGCTCTCTTTCCACCAGTACCAACTCGCTAATTTGGAATGAGGTCACCGGGACTAAACGTATTTGATTTTGGGGCCACCAAATCCGTAACTGGGCACAAAACCTACTTTTTAACCCTACAATTCAGAGTGTAATTCATCTATACTCCAAACCCGAGCTATGGGTAAGCTTTTTCCAAAGTAATCAGTAAATTGCTGTGTTAATGCAGAAGTTCTCAAAGTGTTATGTCTATAAATACGGGTCTCCCATAGTCATAATAGCTTAATTGAAGCTCTCCTGGAAAGGACTCCACTGATTCGTTACTGCCTGTAACCTAATAACATTTTAAAAGCTTATGTTGATTTTTTTTTCAGGCAGCACCATGAACAAGAGCTGCTAGTAAACAAGCCGCCTTTCACTATTGCTACATTTTAAGAAAGTCACAAACTCTTGGGTGCTCCCAATATAACACTGATGCTAAATTGAGAATGGAATTCCTGTAGTTACAAAAACATTAGTTGACAAACTTTTTAGCGCAATGAATATTTAAATGCAGTCGGTGATGAGCCTTTTTAATCAGTGAACCTTTGAGACACAGTAAAGGATGATCTTGTGATAATTAAGAAACCAAACGGCACAGAAGGGTGAGAAGCAACGACAGGGTATTTGGCAGCTGTCAGAGCGTCCTGTACCTCGAAGGGTGCTTTCTATAAACCTCCACTCGTGGGAGCAGTGCCCTTTAGGCACCTCGCTAAAGGCAAGTTAACACCGCTGTTGGCTGGACCCAGGGATGCCAGCAGACGCTCAGAGCAGAAGGGCTGGCATAACTGATGAGACAGGGCCATCCAGATCCTCTTGACTAATTAATTCTTGCTGTGACACTGAAGTTTGTCCATGTGCTGTTTCTTCCGCTTCTCTTGGGCCACAGATTCGCTCTCCCTCTTGCCTCCTTGTACTGTCTTCTCAGGATGAGCGAGCAACAGTTGCCATGCATCTCTGTCATTGCAACCCTTTCTGCATGTAATCCCTCCCGCAACTCTGCTTCCAGCTGCGCTGCTCTGCCTAATGCACGTGACCCTCCGAGGTCTCAGTTTCCTCTTTGTGAAAAAAAAAACAAAACAATACATTGACAAAAAGCAGGACCCGTCTGCACTGCTTGATCATGCTGAGGAAGGTTTATTTCCCATGGTGGCTGTGCTTATTTCTAACAACAAGAACCGATGAGTAAACCACAGGTATTCCTGAAACACTCTGAGCTTTGAATGCTCAAGTTTTCGCTGTTTTGTCAGTCCATGCTGGCCATACATTTTCATAGCAACTTAAGGTATGAAACTGCTCTAGCAAAGCAATTTATAGAAGCTCCAGATTAGGAGAGAAGGCATTTAAAGCTCTGGAATTATGTGACGGTTAGCAGGAACAGATCACATGCGGATGATCTTTACATACTTACAAGGGATGGTTCTCAAGTAGAGATTGTCTCTGATCACTTGCTGGAGTTTATGGTCTATCGAGCCCTTCTGGAACTGAAGGCTCAAGTAGTGGCGCAAGTCTTTGTTGATGACTTTTCCTTAAAAAACAACAAACAAGAAAGACTCATAAAAATTAAGCAGGATCTTGCAACAAGAATAGCATTTCGCTGGTATAAATGTTTCAAAAAAAGAAAGCAACAGAAAGAGTTGGGTTGTTTTAAGCGCAACGACCTGAATGGAAAAGCCATTCTATGCTACCAAAGCCTGACTCTCTGCTGGTGTGAATTGGCACGGTGATTTTAAGCATAGCTGAGCAACAACCATCCAACCTCAGTATCTCCCAAGCAAGAAAGTTACAATGTTCTGGAATTGTTTGGAAATCAATAGAAAGTATTAAGATACAACATCTGTTACCCAAATTAAAAGTCTCTACAGACAGGAGACTGCTTCAAAATACAGCGATACTACTTTCTATTCAATTTTCACCTACTGGCTAGGCACCTGAACTCAGTATGTTGTCACATAGGAATATGCATTCTGGCTATTATAAAAAGAATTTTTTTTCCTTTTTAAAAACACTGCATGATAGAAGAGGAGGGTTTTTTTACAATTATTCTTTTGCAATACTTCTGTCAGGTATCATTAGCGAATCTGTCATATCATTAGATCACCATGGCCCCTTCTGCACACAAATAACTGAGCTCTTGTATTACTGCTTCATCCTTCTGACAGAAGGGTACAAAACAATCTTTTGTACCCTGTCATCTTCCCAGAAAGCACATTAAATAGGGTTCAGCGACCTTGATAAATTTAAGTTACGTACTACAGCAGAACACTCGGGGCTTAAGGGAAAAAGACTCTCAGCCTTCAAAACCCAGCTAGGGGACAGCCAGCAGCAGGCGTATGCTGGCGTATCACAGCAGTGGGAACAAAACCTGGAAGAGACAACTCCTCCTTTTAAGTTATGTCAGCAACAGGTTATGAAACGTGGAAACTCGCCATAGGAGTGATTCTGACAGAGCCTCCAACGCCTGCAGGGATCAACTGCTGAAGAGACCACCTCAAAAGCCCTGAGAATGAAATGGGGCACAGACCCACATCGGTCTTAATACAAAGCTCGTTTATACCTTAAACCAAGATTACTGTACTTCCATGAAATGTCAAAGTTAGAAAAACCCAACAAACCAAAACCCAAAACCCCTTCCACCACCACTCAGCAAGTTTTCCCAACCACATGTCACTGCTGCAAAATCAGTTGCATGTTTTGGCAAGTTGAACCTTTCCCTTCCATTTTTGCCAAGTTAAGGACAGATACGCACCTTACAACTGCGTCTCAAATGTTACCTTGGCTATCGCCATTCATTAATGACAAACCGTATTTCAAATCATACACAGTGCTTGATGTGCACCCTGAGCTCCGGATAAAGTTCATTTCTCACCCTCCTTTAACACTGTCATTTATTTAACAATTACATCCAGAAGCACAGAAAGCATTCTGCAGCGTTGAGAGGACAGGACAGTACGGTCCTCATGGCTGTCTGGGAGTTCCAGAAGCAATACAGCGATTCCCTACAACGTGGGTGGGGTGAGCAGCATCCCCATCCCAACTCCTTCCCAACACTGCAGTGCTCCCCGGGGCCAACGTTCTCCGCCGTCATGCCAGCGAGCCCCCAGCTCAATTCCCTATTTTGCCACCATGAACTGTTCTTTATAAAACTTTGGATTTGCTTCTTGCGGCATAACGAGCAAAACATGTCATGGAAAACAAAAACAAATGGTGTAATCTCCAGCAAGAAAAATATTTTCCATTTGTTACTACAAATCGCTTTATTGTTTGTAGACAAGATGGTTTCTCAACATTAAAAAAAAATGTTTTACCACTAAAATGGTCCATCCATCTCCCTGTCAATGCCAGATCTATAGCACTGCTCTTTAACAATGAAGCGTATTTCACTCGGGCAGATCAATACACACCTATTTCACTCGGGCAGATCAATCTGGTTGTTAGCTACATTCAGAGCGTTGCATGTCAGAAAAACTTGGCAAGAGGTGAAGATCTCTACTGGATGTAGGATTACAGAGACTTTATTTATTCACTGATTTTTACCCTCTTCATGTTTTAAAATGTAAAAGCTCGTAAAACCTTTCCAATAAATATCTACTCAGTCCAAAAAAAGTAAAACCAAAGTCGTTATTAAGGATATGCTGATGTCGAGGGGTTAATTTTAACATTAAAACCTTAAAAAGATTGGACTACACTATGTGACCAAGATGACTACATTGAAGATTGAAAGGATCGCCTGGGGAAAACAGGAGAAAGTCAAACAAAATAGTAGGCAGAGAAAAAGTGACAGAAAGTCACAGAGGATGGTGTGCATTAGGAAGCAGGAAAAAAAAGCAGTAGTAGTAAGGATGCTTTAGGCAACCTTCAGAGCTTGTTCTTACGCAAAAGCCAGATATTTCCCCCTTCAGGAGCTGAACACGCTCCTTTACATTGTTCACGCAGGCTTTTAGGAAAACCTCATGTATCAGACTCCCCGAAATGACCTAACAAATGTCGGGTTGGTGTTTGTTGTGCTGCTGAGCAGTCTCTGAAGGATGACACACGCAGCGCAGGGACCAGTCAAGAGGAATCATGTACTTTATACCATTCAGGTTCTGCAAGATGAACAGGCACAAGCCTCTTGTTTTCAGTTTTAATTTAAATTAACCACAAAGGCACTGCTAAAATGAGGATATGCACACTGCTGTTCAGTAAGGAAAACTAAGTGACTGCAGAAGAAAAAAAAGCCTTGAGCACCACTGCAGCAAAATCCAGCGCTGAGAAGGACAGAGGTACGTCTGAGTGTGACGGAGGCACGGTGAAACACAGAGGTAGTGGCTTTCACTTCTCTTGTCACACCACAACCTGCAGCGGTAAACTTGTCTTTGCTGCCGGCACCCAAGCAGGACAAAGACAGCTATTTACACATCCAACCTGGCATGGAAACGCCAAAGTATACCTATTGCAATTACAAATAGGTGAGTATTGCCATGGTGCTACCAGAACTCGACACAAAGAAGTCCATTTCTAAATTAGCGATGTTGGTAAAACAACAAAGCTCAAACATGCAAATAAATTCTAAGAACTCAATCTGCAAAGATTTTACATTGCTGTACAACAACAAGGCACAGCAAAATACTGTCACAAGTACGTCTGGCTAATGCTGCCAGCACATGGAATCTCTGCGACATCCCCCACAAATTGCTCTGAAGACACGTGGGAATCCTCCGTTTCATTCCAACGCATGTTTTGTGCAGCCAGACGTAGGCGATGACTTTGGAGAGGTATGGCCCATCGTATTCCGTGCTAGGCGGGAGCTGTGCTCCCAAGTCTCTGTGCCGACACCTCCTGGCATCTACATGCTGGTAAGGAGCTGCACCGCTGATGGGTGAACGAATGAGTACATGCATCGTTCTTTCAAGCTTTTCAAAAAATACTTCAGTTAATTATAAAAGCAATTTTTCCAAGTAGCAGTTCATTAAAAGCAGGCTACTTTCCTATTAAACAATATGATTCATTACAAGTGCTTACACTTCCCTGGAGCATTTAGCACAAAAACATATTTTAAGGGAGCAGACGTGAAAACAGAATTGCATTCCCTCATTCTTGGAGGACAGTTTTAAAAGCCTCTCTGCTGTCCCGGCCTGTCCCACCGGTGAATCGAAGGGTAAAACACAACCCCACGAGTGCGCAGCAGGCAGGGCCGCAGCCGAGGCCTTGCCCAGGGCGGGCAGGGGGGCTCTGGGAGGGAGGGTGT